TACTTTAAACCACTGTAACTCTTTAACCACTGAACAGATTCGATTGGAAATTGTGTGAGAAGAATCCTTACATTATCCCGATTGTCTTGTTAAAGGAAAATTGTTTTTCCTCAAAAGCAGGGGTGTTTTTAAATTTTTAAATTATAATGTTATTCTTCTTTGTTGAATAGCTTTTGTGATGCATTTTCTCGTTGAATTTTTCTAATGTTCAGCTAAATTGCTCGAGTAAAATCCTGGCCCGCCCTCTAAAAGCTCGCCTGAACATCTAATTATTGACGACACCACTCTTCCCCGGTCTCCCTTCTTGTACTGGGCGTTTTGGAAATCCAATGCGGTGATCGTCAGTACCACCTAATTAAGAGATCAACTTTTGCTGGTTTTCTAAACATTTGTATGATCAACCATTATAAGTTGGACCCTTAAATGGATAAGGTTGATGTACTGGCTATAGTACAAGTGTAATCGCGTGTGAGTTAGGGTGCCTAAGGCGCATTTTCGGTGCAAATGCAATACGAATAGGCCTTTTGAAGCAGATACACGAATTTGTTCGTAATTTCTGTGGACGTCATGTGAATTCTTAAATAAGATCAAATGGCGTTTTGTTTTGCTTCCTTTTTCGGTACATGTAGCGAATCTTTTTCTACGTGTCAGCCTCCCTCACCAATGCACCACTTTTCGTAATCTTCCGATTTTATGGGATACCTACATAATTACTCGTATATAAACATTATTTAATACAGAGGTAATAAATTTTTAGTAGTATCAGCAATCAGACATTTTTCAAAGAATATCCATTAGCTTTTCCCTGGAGCGTACTTGTATGAAAATATGTTGGAAAATTGCATTTTTCTGCTAACGCATGCGATAATGCTGCGCAAAAATAACGCACAAACGGACGTATGTTTCTCGCCTAAGAAGCTTGATGTGCTATGTATGTGGAAGCAACATAAAAAATGTGAGTGGTGCGTGCTTGTTCCCTTAACGCAATAGAGTGAAAATTGAGTGACATGACAGAACAAGTGATCCCGCTGGGTATTAGGAGAACTAATGAGGTAAAGAAAACTGAGGGGAAGGTATCAAACCGCAGATTATCTCTGAATATCTCCAGCCTTAGGAGTAGCTTGATAGTTCCTTTCACAATAACTACAGGGGCCACAAAAGTCCATTGCTGGATATATGCCCCTCCTCCCCATATCGGGGGATATTCGCCAGCGATATATTTCGAGTCACTAATTCAAGGAGTCTGCTTGTGTTCGTTCTTCATACAGTTTATACGAATCACCATTATAGATGAAGAAAAATCAAAATGCAAATATTTAAAGGGGCGAACCAGCTCACGAAACTGAACAACTTTCCCCAAGTAACATAGGTCGAAATATGAATAAAAGTTTTGACTTCACATACAAATTTCGACTGATAGATACATTTTGTATAGGAGGTCCAAATTTTTTTTATTATGCTCCTGGGACAAAGTTGTTCAGTTTCATGGGCTAGTTCACCACTTGAAATATTTTGGAGTTGATTTTTTATGCCCTATATATTCGTCCTTTCAATAGGAAGAATGCAGTTGTTGGTATGTATTTACAAACATAAATTAGTTTTCTTATTCAAACTAAAAACTTGGTTTTTTGTTTCTTTACCAAAAATTACAACACAATCAATTAAGACCTGCCTACTTACTTACTAACATGTATTTCAGTTTTTCATAGTCTACATTTTCTTGTTATTCTTAATTAGTATGTTCTATCTTATCTTGTACAAGATACCTACCTATCTGTTACATTTTACCTAGATCAGGGATGGGGAAATGGCGGCCCGCGGGCCAAATCCGGCCCGCGGAGTGATTTCATCCGGCCCGCGGTCACTGACTGATTTTTATTAAGTTTGGCCCTCAAGTTCAAATAATCACGTAAAAATTAAAATTGTTTGCTACACAAATATCACAAAAGAATCTTTCATATTTTTTCAAAGCTACAAACAGTCGCCGAACTGACACCGGACAAAATAAACTTTTTCGTTTGCCAACTAAATAGCTTGGAAAATCAATTCAATCCATTTGAGGATTTCAAAAGAATAGAAACTGATTTGCGATTAATGTACAACAATTCAACAAAAATTGAATTTTACAAGTCATTGAAATTTTCCCAATTTAAGAAAACATGCTCAGAAAATCATTTCTATATTTGGATCTTCAATATAACTGTGAGCAAGTGTTTTCCACAATGAAGCTGCGTAAGAACAAACTGAGGAACAAATTGCCTGATAAACACCTGGAGTGTATTTTAAAAGTTACCTACATCAAGTATTTGAAGCCAAATTTTGACGTGCTTGTAGACGAACAGTCAAAATTTCACTTAATTAAAACAAACTTAATTTTGTGTACTTTTTTTAGTAATAAACAAACTTATTTGGCCCGTTTACAAGTTGTGATTCTTTGATATGGCCCTTTCCAAAATGTATTTCCCCATCCCTGACCTAGATGGATGTTTAATGTTGTCTGAAGGGCAAAGGATGGATACAGATTGTTACATAAAACTTCGGGTAAATAAGCTGTAATGTATAGAAATACGTATCTGACAGTGGATACTAACATAATGTTAGCTCAAAATAGGGAGTTTACAGAAATATCACTCGACCTTATTAACGGTTTTGGGATTGTTACTTAGCCAGGTTTGCTACTTACTGTCGAAAATATCAAAGTGCCTATAAGAATAACAAAGCTGTGCTTAAATTATGATACAAGAACGTAATTATTAATTTTAAGTTCATTTTAATCCAATAAATATGGCATTCGTGGCAGCCATCTTTTTATTTACAGTGAGTTTCTCTGATATTCCAGTTCATTTCCGAAAGCGTCAAAATACTGAGTGAGTCATTTCATTTGTAAAGACGCCCAGCGCGCTGTCTCCCTAATTTGTGATATTAGGGTATTGTATCAATTATCTTCTCGGCTAAGCTTTTGCTTAGCTTTCCTTCACAAATGGGTAACTAAACAATAAGATACTGTGGTTGAATTACCTACAGTACAAGTATACTCGGTCGATGGCAGACTGACCTCTAAGCAGTGACTGTCAATAAACAACAATAAACGTCCAAAAATACACGCGACACTTTTTCCGTCGATAGGTAACACACATGTTTATGAAATACAGTGATGGGGGTTAAAGTAGAGATGGGAAAAGATGACTATCAACCGAACCTTGAGAAATTTAACAGATTTTAAGAAAATTAGCTGAATTTATTAAAATGCCATTTCAATTCTTAAGCCGAAGCTTATGTCTAATGTAACTAGAGCCAAACGGCTAATTAATATTGCAAATATAAAGGAAAAAGTAGTTACATGTGCGTCTCAATAATTCCCACTACCAAAAGATACGTAGCCATATATCAGTCACTACAGACAGTCCAACAAATAGGTAGTCGATTTTCGTTTACTTTTTGTTTAATTTTTCGATTTTCCCCTTCTTCTTTGTTCAACCCTTTTCCCAGTTCATATGGGGTCGGATCTCCTTGCACGGTTGCGCTAGAGTACTCTGTCTGGGTTGTCTGAGTCGTAAGATTTGCTTGCTGGATCTCTTTCTGTATATTGGACCACCAGGTAGCGGGGGGTCTTCCTCTTCCTCTGGGTCGGTAGGGGTTCTAGGGCTTTTCTGACTGCGTGGTTTAATTTTTCGATTCTTCGCATTTAAACTCAACTAGGAATTATTAGTCAAATGAAGAAGATATTATGAGCCGGCCGGCGCTATCAGCAAAGCTTTATACTGAAAATGAAAATCGATCGATTCCTTTCTAGTCACCGCCCTAGTTATAAGCACAGGACAGAAGGGGTCGGTGTGTCAACAAATCGCGCAATGTTTTGTGCCCGACCACCCGTATCTGTTTCATGCGTTTGTTTATATGCCCGCCCCGTGCCCGAGGTTTATAGCCTTTAGAAATAACTGTACCGGCCTGTTTTTGGCGTAAAACCGTGTAACTATCGGAAGCTAAGTAACATGCATAGGAGACCAAGAGGTAAGATTTTACTTGTTACCGATATCGAAAATGCAGGACTAGCGGGTGATAAGGAACAAATTTCCCCAAGGAAAATAGGTCGAAATATGGACTTCCCATACTCTTATCAACTGATCGGCAATTGTGTATGGGAGGTCCTTTTTTTTCATATTTCGTCCAATAATCCTTGGAGATTGTTGTTCCTTGTCACCAGCCCGTTCTGGGTTTCGCTACCGGTCACTAGTCAAATTATTTCACCGTATATAGGAGGTCTATTTTTTCATATTTCGTGCTATGTATGTTCCTTGGGAATGTTGTTCTTTATCACCAGCCGGTTCTGGGTTTTCGTTATCGGGCACTAGTAAATTTTCACCCTATATTTTGTACCTCATGATCGACGTTTAACATTCGTTTAATTGTACGTACCCGTATTAATGTTTGCCGTGCCCGCATGTAAACTAGACAGCGAATTTTCCGGTCTACGGAACACTTTGTGATTTATACGGACCCCTGTTCATCGCTTGTATGGGCAGGTTTTATTTACCGAATCAAGGGGCAAGAAATGGTGTTTTCAGCAGAATGTGCATTTTGCAAGGACGGTTTTGTTATGTATAGGTATTACCTGATACATAGAAGAAATGGACCCGAAATGGCAACATTATTGTTTGCGTCTTTTCATATTACCTACATGACATTTGAGCAAGGTATCAACAACAATGTTGCCATTTCGGTTCCGCTTCTATGAATCACCATCTCGTATATTTATTTCTGAGAACGACTGAATAGGTCTGCCTCTGAATGTCAACTAATAACGTAGTACCAAGTACCTACCAAGCTTTTTTTGGTGTCAGAATTTTTCAGCTGCCTACTACTGCTAACAGGACTATGACGATGGTTGAGTATAACGACCGCCATAATAAGTAATCAAATCATAGAGCAACCGGGACCGACGGCTTTACTCTTGCTTTTAGGAAAATCAGGTGGTTCTAGATAAATATTAATTTTGTGAGTGACCCACCGAGAAGTGAACCCGGAACCTTCTGCGTCGCAGGCAGTCGCATAACCACTGCGCCACATCATCGGATGTCAGTACCAAGTGTAGTGTATAAGTAGGTAGGTAGGTAGGTAGTAGGTAGGTAGGTAGGTAGGTAGTAGGTAGGTAGGTACCGTGTTGAAGTCTCAAAAAAATGCAAGTTTTCCAAAAATTTAATAGTTACCAACACGGAAAGTGTTTTAATATTTGGTATTCAAAGTCTCAAATACTTGGTAGCATCTAAACGTAGGGCAAGACGATAAAACCAGCTTAGAAGCCTCAAAAGCACTGAATTTCGCTTACATAAGCGGAACCCTGTAAGCATACTGGCGCCGCAGGTGGCGCGACAGGCTACAAGTGAAAAAAAAAAAAACTAGAAATACTTTTAGTACCTATACGTTTTCAGGTAAAAATAAAGACCGAGCGTGGCGGCGTCGTAGTGCGCCGTTTATAGTATGGAGAGCGCGCCTCGGCGTACCGCCCGGTCTTTTTGGCATCTCCATACCAACCAGTCATTTTGACGGCGCACCACGTCGCGTCAAGCGACACCATATCTTACGATTTATCATAAGACAGTACTAATCTCTTCTTTGCAATTCCAGACTTATGACCAGTGACGTCTTAATGCCCAACCCCCCAGTGGAGATATGAGTAACTTCTCTTCTCTCTTCTCTATGTTTACAATCCTTTCTGCAAACCCAGAATGTAGGTTAATGCTATGCTTCTCGTACGTTACGTACGCGTTTTTTAAAGGTCTCCCAAGTACTTCGTTCCTTTTCATCACATCAGCCCAAAGCAGTCCACGGGTGGTCATAAGCCTCTTTCAGGGTACGCAAGGCACAACCTCCCGGTTACCGCATCCAGTTGCTATCAACTGCTCTCTATAAATCATCGGTCGTTCCGTCGTTCCCTTGGCAGCGTCAAAAACATTTTGCTTGGCTCCGGATATATTTTTAGCGCCTACAGCTAAATGTGGCTAAATGTAAACACCCCCCACCGGGCCCTGTGTCCTGATTGTTCGGTTGCCTAAATGCAATTACTTGCTAGACGCGGCTGCAAATTGGAAATTTAATAGCAACTAATTATGAAGGCTTCATTACGCGCTTTCAGTAAATATTTGCCTTACGTTCGATGTTTTCGGTGGAGCTGACGTAGGGATGGCTGGGGGTCGAGTTTTTAAACATCGATAAGTTATAAAAACAGTACACAGAAGGAGAAATGTTCTCACCACTGTGGCAAAACATGGTCATAGTAAAATAAACTCAAAAAATATACCGGTAGTAATAAAAAGGGTATAACAAGTCAAAAATAGGTCAAGGTTTAGGTACTCATGAAACTGAACAACTTTCTCCATTGAACCGCATTGAACATGGGTAGAAAGATATAAAAAATCATTGGAACTACCCATACCTACAAAATCACCGATCAGCTGATTAATTTCCTATGGGAGATCCGAATGTTTTTCTCGATTTCTTGATTTCGACCGATGTGCCATGGGAATAGTTGTTCAGTTTCTTGAGTACCTTAAAGTCAAATGCCTGCGGAACCAATTTCTTTGTTAACAAAAATGTACCTTGTTTCTAGATCCTGCAACTAAACTAAGACCACCACTGTAGTGACTGTAGGGACTGTGGTGTAAGTGTAGAATCACGTAGGTAAATAAAATTTGGGAGTGATCTACAAAACAATTTAACTATCTAGGGTAGCATAATTACTTATGATGAAATTTTAGTACCTGAAAGATGAAGTGCCACTCATGTCAATGTCAGAAAAACGAACTGAGTTGGACAGTCGAAAAACATCGATATACTTGTGAAGCACAGCACTAGCAGTTTTCAGCGTAAATTTTCACCCAGCTGTAACACAGAATGTTAAATATAAGGTTTGTTTAGCTAAAGCAAACAAATTACTGGAAATGATGTCTGGTTTACAAATAAACGCATAAAATTATTCGAATCAAATAAATTGTTTTGATTGTTGATGTCAAATAATTTGTATACGCATTTGAATGATGATTTCAATGTAGGTAATTAATGTGTATTGTGGGAAATTCTGTGTATAATATAATATTTACTTAAATGGAACTAGGTAATTATGACGATATTTTTAAGTCATGTCATGTCACGTGTGCACTTTACAGTCAACTACTACTATAACAACCACAACAGGCCACTGCTGGACATGGGCATCGCCCTTTTAAGGGGTACTGCCTTACTCACCACGCTTGGTAGGCGAATTGGCGAGCGCAGTGCAAGATGCTTAATTCACATGAGACGCTGCTGCGTGGTGAGAATGGCAATAATCTCCGAAAGGTGGAGGCCCATTTCAGCAGTGGACCATTGTGGCTGTAGTAGCAGTAGTTCTAAGCCCTGCTACTAATGCAGTCTACTTTATTTGATGGAAAGATCACACCAAGGTTTAGGTTTTTAGTTTTTTCATATGTGTGATGCCTTCCTCTTGCCCTTATTAGAATCTCTATAATATAGGTAACACTCAAAATATCAATATCAAATGGATCACTGAAGGAACTTTTTTTATCATTTTTATAAACTTGAATACTATAGGCAGTAAACAATATAACAGTCAGACGAAAATAGCACCCTTAAAACATTTAATACCCGGAAACCGACTTTCATAAAAATCACAAACCAATCACGAAATTACTTTTCCACTAAAAATTGGCTACAAAACGAACGAAAGCAAAACACAAACAGAACGCTACCGGTGAAATCCCACGAAATAAGGAGCTGATTTTAAGAAGTTATTCCAAATCTTATAAACCCGTCTAGTCGAGAAGTTTCTTATCCGAGGCTCGCAGCCCCCGCGACTCCTACCTGCGACAACAAAGTTATAAGTTTTTAAGACTCCGTGTTTTATTCGGGTTATTCTGTAACGTATGGGAAAGCTATTGGTGCAGTCAAGGATTGTTTTAGCAAGCGCGAATAAAATAAAATATAAATTAGAAATGTAAAAATACAGGGTGTAAGGGACGGTGTACTGAAAACTCTGCAGGCGTGATCAGACCATGAAACTGAACAACTTTTACTATGGAGCTAATGCTGGAAAACGAGAAAAATAATCCGACCTCCCATACAAAGTCAGTCAGCTGATCGCGAATTTTGTATGGAAGGTCGGAATTTTTTGACAACCCGTACTTACAATTTGTATTCGCGTGAAATCTTTGAACTTTGGATAAACGATAAATTGACGACTTGTACTTTCACGTCGGTCGTCATTGAAATGTCTACTTTAAAAATATTATATTTACGGTTAAAATGATAAAAAATTAATACGAGAAACAAACAGTAACATCCGTTTGCGTGTCGTTTGTTTGTTTTGCACCTTATTTTCATACGAAATACGATTTACGAGACGATTTATGTCAAATGCTTTGACAGATGCATCCGTCAACGCAGCGTTGTGCGATGCTGTTTGACATAAAACGTAGTCGTATGAAGTAGGGTGGAGAATCTAATGAATGACACACAAAACAGCAGTTTCGTGTGTTTTCTGTCCTTGGTGATTTAATTAGTTCGTAAAAATTGGATTGCGGAATATCCCGACCAAAAAAGCCCCAATCCATACTTTTCTTTTGAATCTGTTAGGTACCTACCTAATGTTTTTCATTATAATTGCCTACCGCAACTTTTAATTTGTATTAAGCACGGGACGAGAAGGAGCTTTTTTGTTTACGAAAGTATGCTATTTTAGCCAATTAGTTGCGAAAATTGTGTTCTGTCTTCAGTTTTGGTAATTCTAACTTCTAAGTTCTACACCAAGCTTATTAAAACTTAGTTCGTAATCATTTTAATTTAAACGAAAATTTAAGAAAATTATAAACATTTTTAATAGAGAGGTACTTAAAAACATTTGCAAAGGCAGTAAATTATTTTGATGGTTCATTTATTTCTTTGCCTTTAATAACCCTTATTTTGATTCTTTAAGTATTCTAATGAATGAACGCAAAAGTGTTTTCTCTCTAGGTAAGTAAAGTGGTCATGCAGGCAGACGTATTTTTAATACTAACAATAAAAAATTTGAAACATAGTTTAAATTATTAAAACCATACATATACAAAATAGTTCCTTCCAAATATTATTGAAACAAGGTGAACTGTACTTTAATCCTTAAACAAAATATTTGAAAACAAACCTCTGAAAATATTATTATTCAGCTTTACCTAGACTAGACTAAACCATATTATCTTAAAAGCTAAGATACTCAACTTATTCCCACATAAATCTTATGCCAGCTTACCTAAATGCAAAACGGTATTAACTTTGTATAATTTCGACTTTCTTATCTGCGACGACAGGGGCTGTGGTTACAGTCTTGCGAAATACTCAAATAAGTGTCCATGTAGACGATACGATATTCTATTGGGCTATGATTTCATAAACATAATTTTAATTTAATTGCAGATTATTTATAATCACACGTAAAAGACAGTAACAGAAGCATTTTAGCATACTATCCTACATATTAGAAGTACTTAGGAAGTTTAAATCAAGTAAAGTTCGGTCACCGGTCACGTCCCGGCATACGGCATTCTGCAATATTTAGAAATGAAGGTGACATCAAAGACTTTTCGCGCAAGTTGTCATGTTTGTCTCAAATCATTCAGCTACTGAAATATGAATCCATAGAATTTACAATCCTATTTTAACGCATTTGTAAGTTGGAGTTGGATTAGACTCTACCACCACCAATTACAGTAATATTTTAAAATTCTCAATCTATAACCGCAACTCTTCATAATAATATTTCATACTATTTGCAATTCATATCAAAAGAAGCCACAAAATAAGTAATACACTTCAGTGCAAATATAGCCATGTCTAGACGAAAGCTAGATTAATAAATATAAAGTTCGTCATTTTCATCGAACAGTTAGGGGATTGACGCGTATACTTAATTCTCTTTGATATCAAACACACAAATAACCAATGCAAGCTTTTTCCAAAAGTAATTTTAGCTGACATGTAATTTTTCACAAATCAGCATATAATTTTACTTTATAAGTGAAAGAAATATGAATTTTGCGA